CAGGCTGACGCCTGGCACGGGCACTGTAGCCAGCCCGTGCCCCTTTAAGGGATCCGTGGCCGGGAGGGGGGTAGTAGAGTTTCCCTAGTGTTGGCCAGAGTGGCCACCAGGGAAACCTGGGGAGGGCTAGCCTCCCACTAGTTCGAACTAGGCTTAATTCTCGTGGAATGAGGATTACCTAGTTCGAACTAAGCGCTCCGTTAGTTCGAATTAAATTCGAACTAACGGAGCGGTAGTGTAGCGCCTATGAAAGTTAGTTCGAACTAACATTCGTTAGTTCAAACTAACTTTGTAGTGTAGACATACCCCCAGGGGAGTGTCCAGACTAGCACGCTGAGCAGACAAACAGATGATCAGCTGTTTGTCGGCTCAGCGCGGCAGCCATGTAAATTTAAATGAAGCCGCGATCATTTAAATCGCGGCTTCATTTGCCTTTGCCTACAGCCCTAATCTACATGGCTCCATCGATGGAGCCATGTAGTCTAGACACAGCCCCACAGGGCTAGCTGGGTTCATACTAAGGAGGAGATTTTAGCTCTGCCTTCATTCACCCTTTTCTGAAGCTCTCTTCTCTTTCCCATGTCAAATGTGTAGAGGGCAGCATGGGAGCAGAGGGCGTTGTTTTTTCCAGCTTCTGGTCTTTGCTGGGTGGCACTATGTTAGCACTAATTCTAGTGTGTTCTCTCTTCCTCTCCTCTGCATCCCCAAGCTGGCTGCTCAACAACATGCAGGAGGGAGTAATAGGAACACATGAAGTCTGGCAGGGGGGTTACTCCTCAGGAAACCCAAAAGCCAGAAGGAAATGAGCTTGTACTTCCACACCCACATCCACACATGCAGAGCAAATGGGGTAGGGTTACAGGACAGAGACTGGAAAACCGAATTCACTTCATCCCCCTCCTGATGTTTGATTTCTCCAATCTGCAAGAGTATAGTGAGTACTAACTGCAGATTTTGTAAATCCACTGAACGGAATTCCTGACATGGCTTTGGATTTACTTCAGAAAAGGAGCAAGTCTCAGTTTAATGCTTGTAAAGTTTGAAGTTTATAAAACTGAGCCAGTATTGCTGACTTCTTGGTGAGACTCATGATATTTGATATTTTTGTTAAGGCTCCAGCTTCTGGTGTGTACTCATGCCTAGTGGTCAGAGCAGAGGTCGAAGCCAGATGTAAGGGCAGACCTGGTCTGAGGATAGTACCGGAACTGGGATTTGAGGACAGACTGGGGTCAGAACAGATCAGAGACAGTAGGCAAGCCAGACGTAGTATTGTAGCCAGAATCCAGCTATAGGCCAGAGGTCGGAGTTGGGAGGTTAGAAACCAAATCAGTACTGTAGCTGGAGTCCAGATACAGGCCCAGGGTCAAAGCTGGGTGGTCAGAGTTCTGTGGGATCAGGAGGTAGAGGCAAGGCCTGGAGCACAGTCAGAGCAGGGCAAAGACACGACTGGAACAGGGCTTGAGCAAGCTTTAGGTAGGAGCAGGAGCATGGGCAGGAGCAGGCTGAAAGTTGAGAGTCTGATACATTGGGAGACAGCAAGGCTATGTCTAGACTGCAAGCCTCTTTCGAAAGATACTTTCAAAAAAGCCTCTTTCGAAAAAGAGCATCTAGACTACAACCAGTACTTTCGAAAAAGCAAGCCACTTTTTCAAGAGAGCACCCAGGCAGTCTAGATGCTCTCTTTCAAAAAAGCACAGTTTGCATTAAATAGCATCTTTTTTTGAAAGAGCACTTTCGAAAAAAGGACTTCTTTCTCGTAAAATGAGGTTTTCCATGGTTGAAAAAACTGCCGCGTTCTTTTGATTTACTTTCGAAAGAACGCAGCAGCAGTCTAGACGCAGGGGACATTTTCTCGAAAAAAGGCTACTTTTTTCAAAAAAACCCTGTAGGCTAGACACACCTCAGGAGAGCTCCTGACTAGATAGTGCTGTTGTACAGACTGATTTGCAGTTCTGGTGGGTTGGTCATGTGACCCAGGCTCCACTCTGAGATAGGTTGCTGCAGCCTTGATGGCCGAGTAACTGCAGACTCTGGGAAGGGTAAGTTAGTACAGCTGGGTTGTGGCTACATGCTTACTGCAGCTCTGTTGCAGGGGAATGACTGAGGCTCTGCGAATGGGTGGGGTATTGGACTGCCCATTATTAAAGGCCTTTCCGTGCAGCATAAGGGGGAGGGGGCACCAGACTCAGGCATCAACCAATGACAAGGGACAGCAAGGAAAAAAGAGGGATGGGAGTGAAGGTCACAGGAATAAAATCTCAGATTCAAAGGGGAACGCCAAGCAGAGACCCTTGGATAGCGCTTACTGATTCTCCAAGGCATACAGAGAGCCAATGAACACAGGGCAGAGGAAATTTGCCTGGAGATATGACTTGAAAAGGAACCAGAAATAGGCTTCCTGTCACAAAGCCCTCCCCGCCGCTTCCTCCTGCTGATATGGTAGAGGACCACCTTGGGCAGCACCAAGAGGAGGTTGACAAGATCTTGTGATGTCATAGGATCACAGATAGAGTGTGTTTAGATCAAGACTCCGGGGAAAAGTACAACCTTAACTTAAGAAGGTTTTGAAGAAGCTGGACAAAGGGCTCCTCCAGTCTGATACATGCTATATAAATGTGCACCAGGGGTTCCTTATCACTATAGAAGGGACGGGTGTCAGGGGAGGTGGTGAACCATTTCAGGTGTATGTTTGTGAAGGAGTCACTAATGAATTTCCCTAGCAGGCTGTGAGACCAGAGTCAAATACTCACCCTCCTGGATTGGTATGAGTTCCTTGGTATCTACACTGCTGGGTTTTTTTCAGAAAAAGATAAGCAAATTATGAACCGCAATTTGTGTACATTTTTCCGATCCTTTTTTTGGAAGAGGCTTTTCCAACATTTGGTCCGTCTACACTGGACCAAATGTCAGAAAAACCTGCTCTTTCAGAAGAGCCCTTATTCCTCATAAAATGAGGAATACAGGGCTTCCGAAAGAGCGCATCTGCTCTTCCAAAAAAAAATTTTGGAAGAGCAGACGCGTTCCCTGGATGTAGTGGAGTTTTTCCGGGATACTTCTGGTATGGTGATTGAAAGGCAGACCAACTGCATAGTGTGCATCTGGTTCACATAGTATGTCAAGAGTGACAGGGGAGGCTTGCAAATCATGGTCCCAATGGTGAAGTCCAAAGGGCCAGGTGTGAGGTGCAGTTGGGAAGTACCCTCCTCTAGGACTCGCTTGAGAAAAGTGTGAGAAGTCAGCAGTAAGGCTTCCCTCACTTGCTGCAGCATGCAATGGGGGACTCCATAGATGGTGAATCCCATGCATTGGCTCAGCACTATGGAGTCCATTCAGTTCCTCCAAACATAGATCAGCAGGTTTGACCAACCAGGATCAACTTTCTGTGCACTGAGGGGGATTCAGTCTTCTGCACATTGAGCTGAGGTCGTGTAGCAGGAGCTCTGCAAGGCGCTCCTCTCCTTCGACAGATGTCCTCGATCTGTGGGAGAGGCAGCTGAGTGAGCAGCCCTGGTTTGGTTATGGATTTACCTCACACCTACAATAATGCCATGTGGGATTCTGTTTTTATTTTTTTTAAACTGATCCTTTATGACTGAGGAAAACACAAATCTAAAGGCTCAATAGCATAGCAAATGAAGAGAACTCAGCATTATTCATTATTTTTTTCACGATTTTAAGCTCATCTCATGATGAGGGGTGGGATAGGAGAGCTGACTAATTATCTTTCAATGACTGACATTAATAATAGTATTATACCCATGCTTTTATGGAGTAGCTGTATGGTTTTGTGCTTTATTTCTTCTATCCTTTTCCATCTCCGTATCTGACTTCTTTAGGTCATTTGTTCATTCTGCTTAATAACACTATGTGAACAGAATATGCCCACCAAGCAAAGTTTCAGAAGACCATTCTTTTTGGTACAAACACTACTTTGTACATTGCTTGAGTAGAAGAAAGAGATTAAGAATATTCATCCACAAGTTTCAGTTTCAAAGGACAAAAATACAAGCAAGAATCTTCCAGATACAATAGTGTCAAATATAAAACAGGAACCATTTAATGAGAGCGTTATTAAAACCATCAAAATAATGAAAGCCATGAAGAGGGAATTGTTACAAGGAATCTGTGGTTGGCTAGCTGTTGTTTGTGTCAGTTTTTAGGATAACTCAGGTTTTTGATGCAAATGCCTTGTAAAAACTGCAAACTAAGATCATAATCTGAGATTTCACTAAACAAATTTTACAAGCAATAACTTCTAATTTAATACTCTTGCTAGTTAGAGTTGCCATCTATTGTGAAAGAAAGAGATACAGACAAAGTCCGCTAATTTATTACTTATTTTGCTTTATCAGAAGGCTGTGAAGTGGGTCCCTGGAGTGAATGGGCAACTTGCAGCAGAAATAATAAAACCTGTGGATTTAAGTGGGGTCTGGAAACAAGAACAAGACAAATTGTGAAAAAACCGGCAAAGGACACAATACCATGCCCAACCATTGCAGAGTCCAGAAGATGTAAAATGGCCATAAGGCACTGTCGAGGAGGTAAGACATTCCCTGCCAAACAATTTTTTAACCCTTTTCTAATGTAAGTCTCATGTATAACTTGGAAAACAAAGCTATATAGTCCAATCAATAGGAAAAATCCTCCTCTTACTCTATCTTGTGCAATTATGCATGGTTAAAAGGCAGTAGAGCCACACTACTGCATGGAGAGCCAATCCCCAAAGGAACCAGGAATGAAGGAAGACCGTCCATAGTAAAACCTTTTCTCTTCTCCCACCCACATTCCTACCTACCTCATGCTAAAAGTTTTAAATGTTTTTCTCTCTGAATGCAACGTCTTAATTTATTGAATGTACAATACATCAGTTTGTTTATGTGAAGGGTAAAAATGCTCAGCTATTTAAACCACTTTAACAAAACTACTAGCTACCTATGTCTTCTTCAAAAAGACAAGGCATAGTGAATAAATTAAGGATTATTTCTTAGATTGAGTTAATTTTATCTTTCACCACACTCACTTATAGTTGGTTGTTAACCTTTTTCGTTAGTAAACCATGAAATGCTGCATGTTGCCTCTATAGATGATGACAGTACTTTATATGATCCCAGTTCTGAATAGTGATAAGTATGTCTACTTACAATTCTAAGCACTATTCTTACTGAAAGTGAAAACAGGAAATTTAATCCATTGTATACAAGAAATAAATGTGAGGCAAACCATTTTTACTTGTAATATAGCAAATCAGTAGTACTTGACTAGATTAATAGTCAGTGCATATTGTTACATTAATACAATATTTTATACCAACATATCTGTTTAATAGTAACATTTATTAGCCTATAGTGTTCATTGCAAACCACTAATGCTTTGTTTACCAAACTAGCGTCAGAACACTCTCTCCTTTGGAAAATAATTTGATATCATTTGGTCAGAAATTTAAATGTAGCCCAAGGAGCTACCATTCAGACTCCTAATACTTCTTTAAAATTAGTTCAGTTATACATTAATATATATGCAATATTAATCATTTTATTATTTATGTGTTTATTTAAAATTTATAAAGCCCTGCTCTTGTTTCAGAGTTGGGTTGTCCATTTTCCAGTATTGTTCTAAGAGTAAGTAGCTGACACATCAAAGAAGGAGAAAAGTTTGGCTGAACACTAGGAAAAAAACATCCTAGAACTAAGATATAATATGGTGTGGAAGAATTGCCCAAGGGGAGTGATGAAAATCCAGCCTCTTGAGTCATTTAAACTAAACAGGAAAAAATACTAGGAAATGTACTGGGGGGAACAGTCATGCAATGGTGGATATTTGTGGGTAGCTGAGAGGAGGCAGGAAGGAGATGGGGAGAGGCAGAATCAGAGGTTGAGTTGAACTAGTTCATGGTAGCTCAGGGAGCTGGCATTTTGTTCTTCAAGCTGCCATCTTGTGCCCCAGAATCAATTCTTTCAAAGTCTTTAGTCCTCCTCAACAACTTTCAGAATGGAATTGACATGTAAACCAATGTAGCCAGGCTAGCTTGTTCTTGCAAACAGCCTGAACAAATAGCTGAGATGTGTTAAGTGCCCTGTTCGTTTTCAGAGCGTGTTAATTCTGAGGCCCCAAAATGATAATGATGAACTCCAATTTGTTAACTTTTTCTGCTGGTACAAAAGAGAGGAAAGGGATGATCCCATTATGAAGTTCTCTACTCTACACTAGCTGGAGTACTGTGTCCAGTTCTGGGCGCCACATTTCAAGAAAGATGTGGAGAAATTGGAAAGGGTACAGAGAAGAGCGACAAGAATGATTAAAGGTCTAGAGAACATGACCTATGAAGCCAGGCTTCATGAACTGGGCTTGTTTAGTTTGGAAAAAAGAAGATTAAGAGGGGACATGATAGCGGTTTTCAAATATCTAAAAGGGTGTCACAAGGAAGAAGGAGAAAATTTGTTCCTCTTGGTTACTGAGGACAGGACAAAGAGTAATGGGCTTAAAGTGCAGCAGGAGAGGTTTAGATTGGACATTAGGAAAAAATTCCTAACTGTCAGGGTGGTCAAATATTGGAATAAATTGCCAAGGGAGGTGGTGGAATCTCCCTCTCTGGAGATATTTAAGAACAGGTTAGATAGACATCTGTCAGGGATGGTGTAGACGGAGCTTGGTCCTGCCTTGAGGGCAGGGGGCTGGACTCGATGACCTCTCGCGGTCCCATCCAGTCCTATGATTCTATGATTCTACAATATCCTTTGAATGGCTTCTTGTGTTGAGCCCCTCTTTTGGGATTTCTGGTGCATTGAGGTTAGTTTATGGAGTGAAGTTTGGGAGAATGCCAGAATTTTTTCTCCAGCTCTGGATAGGATAGATATAACCATATAGGTTTCCACACCAATCCCTGTCCCCATGTGTTTTGAGACATATAGATGAAGTCGCGCATGCAAGCAGGTATACATTCATGTAATGTCTAGTTATACAGTAGTGATAAAACAATTTGCAGAGTGGGAGTACTGGGAATCGTTCAATCAAACTGGAAACCCTGTATATTATGGAAACCACTTTCAAGCCTGGCGGGTGCAGAAGGACCCCCAACACCCATAGTTCTAGCACCTATGTAGTTATTCTGAGAGTTCCTTGACATGGATATTACAGATGCAATCAGTCCTGATAGTTTGGTCCAAAGAATCTACTATTGGCCTATAGTATTCGTATGGGTGCCTTAGTACAGAAGCAATACTGTAACATTTGAGAAATGTATAATGTCTGTGTTTATAATTCTTGTCTAGTTTAAAAGAAGGGACATTTTTTTTCTAGAGGTCCAGCCCATGGATTAGGTCCTTTGTCTAATCTGAGGCAGGAGCTGACCTGTACCTTGTCACTCAAATCCCCACCAATATAGGTTAATTGGGACCTAAATAGAGGATCAATAGCAGATCAATGGAGAGGAAAGATGCTCTGGAAGAAGGTAGAGAACCTGAAAAAAACAAAGCTGGCTGCTGCCACCTGCCCCCTAGAAACAAAAGTGTGAGTTGTCTGGTACATTAAGGCCATGTCTACACTGCTGGCTTTGCCAGCAGTACCTATGCAAGTGAAGCGTGGATTAGCATTTTGCTATGCTTCGTTTGCATAGTTTATTCAAGCTGTTTTTGCGCAAGGGGTTTTTGCGCAAAAACAAGCAGTGTGGATGGGGTTTTTTTGGTGCAAAAACCCCATTTTGTGCAAGATCCTTATGCCTCTCTCCCAGAGAGACATAAGGATCGTATGCAAAATGGGGCTTTTGTGCAAAAAAAATCCCTGTCCACACTGCTTGTTTTTGTGCAAACCATCATCGAATAAATTATGCAAATGGAGCATGACAAAATGCTAATCTGCGCAGTGTAGACAAAGCCTAAATAGATAGATAGCACTATAGGCAATGGTTTGGTAGAGCATTATAATAAAGTATAATGATGATGGAAGGGACTTTCATTGAACTGCAGCAGTGTTTGCATGGAACATTGCTATGTTGTAGACTGATGCACTTTAGATTCACATGCTTGCTTGCTGTGAACTTGCCATGGAGATGAGTCCTAAGGTACCCTTACTGGTTCATATTTTAGTGTGTTAGATGATTGATCACCAGCAATGTTTAATCTGACCATAATATTTTGGGAAACAAGAAATCAAGTATAATCTGTCTTGAACAGAATAGGCAGTGCTCTTTTACAAGTATGACATTGTTCTATTATTACGCATATTCTGAGTTTGCAATTTGGGGAAATAAAGGCAACTGTAAGGAAAATAGTATTTAGAAACCATAATCTCTCTAAATATCTGTTAAGAGGGTAAGATAATAAAACCTTTCTTCTAATGTTCTGAGTGTATAAACTCACAGCAATATGTGGGATAAGTATTAGATTATGTAACTAAAGAGGGTTGTAGCTTGTGATGGATTAAACTGAGAACAGGAAATAAGGATATTTTTGGTGGAATAGGGTAAAGTAAATGTGCTTAGGACATATGCTTTCTATTTCAGTGCATTTAGTTTACATTCCAGTTACTATTTATGTGGCCTGAATTGTACATGAGAACTTCACAAGCAGGTTTTTTTATTTTATTTTATTTTATGTATCCTTGCTGGAGAAGAAATAGAGTTGCATTTACCATTCCTATTAACTGCATCAGTTCCATATTTATGATGGACTGGGATGTTACCCATCTGTCTGTATAGCTATGCAACACATACAGTCTCTGAAGAGGAACTCTTCATCTCTTTCTCACTATATGCAGACTTAGGCTGGGCTGCAAGTGATTTCACATAGGCTATGTCTAGACTGCAAGCCTCTTTCGAAAGAGGCTTTTTCGAAAGATACTTTCGAAAAAGCCTCTTTCGAAAGAGAGTGTCTAGACTGCACACGGAACTTTCGAAAAAGCAAGCCGCTTTTTTGAAAGAAAGCAGCAAGTGAGTCTGGATGCTCTCTTTCTAAAAAGCCCTGTTTGCTTTCAAGAACGCCTTTTTTCAAAAGAGCACTTTGGAAAAAAGGCGTTCTTCCTTGTGGAATTAGTTTTACCGCCGTCAAAAGAAAAGCCACATTCTTTCCTGTTGATATGAGTAGCATGCTGTAAAATAGGATGGCACTCTAATTTCAGATAGGTTATCTAATAATATTTTGATTGCCAGTTCTACGGATTAAACTATTATTTCCAAGTGGAAATGTTCACCTTTCATTCTGGTAAATGTTACATATATTACATTGTTGCATTGGTGTAACATGTCTCATAGGCTCATAGGAAAAAGTGGCGAGGAGTCCTGTGGCACCTTATAGACTAACTGAAGTGTTGGAGCATAAGCTTTCGTGGGCAAAGACACACTTCGTCAGATGCATCTGACTAAGTGGGTCTTTGCCCATGATAGCTTATGCTCTAACACTTCAGTTAGTCTATAAGGTGCCACAGGACTCCTTGCCGCTTTTGCAGATTCAGACTAACACAGCTACCCCTCTGATACTTGACAGATGGAAAAGACTGCCAAGATTATCCAGTCCATTCTGCCAATGTCAAGCTATTGTCTACAGCAAAC